CAGTGTGTGTGTGTGCGCGCGCACACACACACACACACACACACACACCCACCACAAGTATTTCACCACAAAAAAGAATAAAATTATTTTATCTGTAGGAACAATGATGGAACTAGAAATCATCATGTTAAGCAAAATCAGCCAGACTCAGGAAGACACACATCACATGTTTTTGCTCATGAACTGAATGTAAGGATAAAAGATATCAAAGTAGAAGTAGGAAGAAGGATGGGGAATGCAGAAGAAGTATAAAAGAGAATGCCATGTTGATTATCATTACTATATTATATACATGACAGTGTCATAATGAAGTTTATTTTGTACAATGAACATGTTAAAAAATAAGGAAGGAAGAGAAAGAAGAAATGGATTGGGGAGGGAAGGAGGGAGGAAAGAGGAAAGGGTGGAAGGCAGGAAGCCAGAAGGGAGAAGCAGCAGACCTGTAGTTAACCAGATGCTTGATTTACTAGATAAGGCTTTTTAAATGGCACCAGAATGACATTTTGCAAAACACAAGAATGCAGCTTAAAGAGGAGAGAAAATATGGTTATGAAAAATTAAGTGGATATTCTGGAATTGAAAAATACAGTAACATGAGTTGAATCATTGGAAATGGATGAAGGAAGGATTGTTGAACTATTAATAGGACAATAAAAATATTCAGATCAAGGCATGAATAAAGGTAGGGAGCATAATAAATAGCAAAAAAATATGATACATATTGCAAAGTGCCTAATATATGTATAGTTGGAATCTTAAAAGGAAAAGAGTGTTTCTTCTGTAGAATCCATATTCAAATTGATAATGACAAACAGTTATCAAAATGGAGGAAAGATATCAATCTGCAAAAATTCCATGTGCAATAAACAAACAAAAAAGTACAACTTAGTTACACCAATGAAACTACCGGAGATGAACAATGAAGAGAAAAACTTTAAGTGGGGGCAAAGTAAGATGTATCACCCAAAGGCAGCAATAAGTCTGGCAGCCTACTTCTGAAAAGAAATGATGGTGCCTAAGAGACAATGTAATGCCATCTTATAAAGTGCTAAAAGAGAATGGCGACCACTATAGAATTCTGTACTCTAGGAAATTATCCTTCAAAACTGAAGATGAGATAACTTTATAGACAGAGAGTAGGGTACCTTATCAAAATAGATGTGATGCAAACACAAATGTGAGTTGTTAAGGTAGAAAAGACAATCTCAGAAAGAAATGTGAGGGTACAAAAAGAAACAAAAAGCATTTATGTAGATGAGTCTCAATTAATCTTGGCCACATAATGGAAAAACCATAGAATCTTACAGTGTTAAAAATATATGAACAAAAAAACGCCTGTCAGTAATAACATGAAAAGTAAGAAAAGGTAAACAAGACACCAGTCTAAGGTTCTATCATTTTCTGTGTTCTGAAGTATGAGTTGATAACAGCCTGTATTAAATGATGCATGCTATATTTAGGGTGACATTTAACATCTTACTATCAAGCTAGGAAAAACAAACAAGAAATTTCATTCTCCTTCCCTCTTTATTTTCATTTGGTATAAGGATCAAAACTTTGCTGGGTAGTGGCAGCACACACCTTTAATCCCAGCACTTGGGAGGCAGAGGCAGGTGGATCTCTGAGTTCAAGGCCAGCCTACTTTACAGAACAGAGTTCCAAGACAGCCAGGGCTACACAGAGAAACCCTGTCTTGAAAAACAGCAAACAAGCAAAACAACAAAAACTGATGCTTCTCCTAGTACTACACAAGCTGGTCATGGTGGCACATTCCTCTAATCCCAGCATTAGGAAGGTAGAGATAGGAGGCGCTCCTGTCTCCTCAGGTCATCCTCAGCAATACAGAGAGTTCAAGGCCAACCTGTGTTTTATGAGACTGTACTTTTAAAAAAAAATCAAATAGAATCTCACATATGCTAGGTGATCTCAGTGTCACTGAACCACACCCCAGCCTATGAAAAAAAAAAATCCTAAACAATGCAAAAAAAATGAAAGAACATAAATGTGATAGAGTGAATAGAAAAAAATAAGGTAGTTTGTATTAAATATAAATTGACTCAGTGTACCAATTAAAAGATATAATTGTCTGACGGATAAAAAATTCATTCAGGAAAAAGTATAACTAATTGAAAGAAATGATATTTTTAAATCCAATTATATCAAAATACAGTTAAAACAACTATATTAGCCCTTAAAATAGACTTTAAGACAAGAAATAGTAACATATAGTATAATTACCAGTATTAATACAATAGAGGGATGAAATCACTCTCAATTTATGGGCATTTAATTTAAAAAATGGCATTAAAATATATTACATTAAAATATATAAAGCAAAAATGGAAAAACTAAAAAAATAAACATCATACACAAATTCACACTGTATTGTAAGACCTCAGCAAATCTTTCAGTAGCCAACAGGACAGGTGTTCAAGAAGAAAAATTACTAATATAAAGGAGCTGAACATAGCCTGATATAACCTAGTTTAACCCAGCAATCACAAGATAAATTCTTTCAACTGAACTTTTAATCAAATTGATCATAATACAAGTGTCAAGATTAATGAAAGGATTGAAATCATTCAGTGCAAATTGTGACCTCAGAGATCTTGAAAGTTATTTTTAAAACACTAGAAATCAATAAATAGGCCAAAGAGTCAGCTAACTCCTACAGGCTGCCCTCTGACCCTCACACAAGCCTCATGACATGCACGTGCGTTGCATACACACACACACACACACACACACACACACACACACACACACACACCTAAAAACTTCCTCAAAGAAAATATATGAGACACAACTGAAGCGATTTTTGGAAGAGAGCAGATAGCTGTACACATGTATGTTAGAAAAGAAAACTGCCTAATGTTGTCTACTACTGTACCTTGTAAACATAGAAAAAGGGTAAGAGTCAAAAGAAAATCGTCAGCAAGAGTTGGTTCTTTGGAAAGATTAGTGAAATTGGCTTTTAAAAACAAGTTGAGCAAGAAAAGAAGAAAATATAAATCATGAATTAACAAATGAAAGAAGGGTGTCACTGAAGTTTGCATGAATTAAAAATTGAATAATATAACATTATGATAATCTTTATCCCAATTGACTTGTTAACTCAGGTAAAATAAACAATTGGGGTGGAGATGCATACATTACCAAGATTGATAAAAGAAATAAAAAATATATATAGTCATAGGTATTTTTTAAACTGAATTAGAATTAAGATTGTCTAGGTCTCATAACTCCACTGGTGAATTTTGTCTAATATTTAAGTAAAAATCATAACAGTCTTACACAGAGTTTCAGAATATAGTGGAGAAGGGATTCTGGTCAACCCATTTTATAAAGCCAGCAAGACCCTGGTAACAATACCAAAATCATTATAAGAAAATTATATATTAATACTTCTCACTCACATTTCTTTAAAAATCCTTAAGAAAATGTTAACAAGTTATGTATCATAATGTATAACAGATAAGTACATCATGGTAAAGTGACATTTGTCCTAGGATTGCAAGGCTTGTTTAACAGCAAAATCAATCACTGTAATTCACTGTGCTAACAGTTTTATTTAAGCTGTTACTTGTTTGAGCAGAGGCAAGAGGATCATTTTACAAAGCTTAACAATCACTCATGACTTAAAAAAAAAAACACCTAGAAATACAAGAAAACTACTTTCACCAAATATAGGGTATGTATCTTAGTGGTGAAAAATGAAAGTCTACTGTAAGTCATCAAACAGCAATGGTGTCCCTAATATTGGAACAAAGCAAGGAATTCTCTCCCCACACTCACTGCATCTATGCAGAGTTGAGCTAGATGTCCTCACTGATGAGATAAGACAAGTTAGAAAGAAAGAAAGGGAGAAAAGGAGGGAGGAAGGAAACAAACAAGAAAGCATGATTGCTGGTAATGAAGACAGCAGCTATGAAGAGATAGATGAATGGATTGTCTTTACAGAAAATTATAAGGAATCTGAAAAAATTATAATTTGTATGCTTAAAAGTATGCTAATATATTAAAATCTGGGCACGCTATTACTATCTGAAAAGATGAACAAGAAATTGGTAACAGTCATTAAAGATTGTGAATGAAGTTTATGAACTCATAACCAGAAGAGTCGAGAATGAAAGAGACTTTTCCTTTATGAACTGTTTAAGTTATTGGTAATTGAACATAGTTAATTTTTTACTATTTTGAATATAACTTTTTTTGAAAGACTGAATTTGTCAGTGCCATATCAATGTCTAATGATGAACACTTCAGTTTCTGTACCCTTCACACAAACTGTGATCGAACTCATCAGACCACAGATGTCATTAACATGACAGTCATTCCAGAATTATATCCACTTGAGAGAAGTAAAGTAAATAATACATAAATGATTTGTAGCCAGAAGTCAAGACCATATTAATATATAACAAGGCAATGTTTACTATAGATGCCTATGTAATGCTTTCTCAGTGTACCTTACAGTCGCATAGCTAGGTAAATATATTCCTTTCCCTTAACTCTCTTAAATACTAAACAATACACCAAAATAGTAACAATAGAAGTAATAAAATCTAACGTGTATGTAAGGCTTGTTATTTAAGATGCTGCACCAAATTCTCTATGTCTATTATTTCAAAGTGTAATATCCATAATTCTGGCAATAGAGAAATAAGAGGTTAGAGGCCAGAATAATTAAAATTAAATAGAAATTCTCCAAATAGCCTTAATTCTTTATTCTTTGTTCTTTGGTATACTGTAACAACATTTGAGTATCATGATGGCTGAGTGAGTGAATGAGTGTGTGTTTGTGTGTGTAATGCAAATCTTGGAGATTATAGGTGAAAATCAGCAGAATTTACAACATGATTAGATACATTCTAGGTCAGCCTTATGCCACTAAGTAGAAAGTTGAACATATGCACAGATCAAATTTAGACTATCTTCAGATAATATAAACAAAAGATAAAATTTTAACCCAAATTATGAAAGTAATTTGGACTACCTACCAAGGAAATCAACAAAATCTTCTATGTCTTGCTTTATCCTTTGCTAATCCTTTGAAACCATGAGGAATAGTACAAATATGTTATCAGTTCTGAATCCACCCAACAGACTCATTCACTGTTTGTCTATCACTGTTGATTGTAAACATGCATTAATCGATACTTATAACTTCAGCACTCTGAAATGTTAGACAACCCCAGTAATCATTACCCCGAGAATTAACCGGCACAGCAATGATCAGGCCTCCTTAAGCAGCGAATGATTCCATCTGCTCTTAGCAACATAGTCTGCGGTAGCACCAAGAATTCCTTCTTCCACGAATACCTGGACCAGGAGGCATTCTACTGCATCCCAAAATAGTAGCTGTGCTTTTGGCTTCTGAGCTGAAGACAGCTGAGGGGGGAGGAGCAGGCACCAAGTTGCTGCTTTCCTCTGCCTCAGACCTACAAGGGCCTGTCTCAGTGCTCATCTTGGTGAACCCTGATGGCTCTCTGGACCAGGAGCCCACACCTGGGACCAGTGGAGCAAAGATGGCTTCTGACAGCTTCCTGTGCTACAAAATGCCATGCAGTGGCTGAGTAGCCTCCTCTTCGTGGATTCTCTCTTCTCCCCTCCCTTCCATATCCATGCCCTTGTTTAGTCCCAGCTTCCATTAGAAATGCTATTTGGGCAGCAAATTTCACAGATTGGATCCATCTCAATGCTGTCATGCAAAGAAAACACATCTGTCTGACTCTTCATTTAAAATAAGGGAAAAATTGAAATAGCAAAATGCTGTAGTCGCTCTGAGCTGTCTCCTAATGAACCTGTTTGTCCCATGAGCTGTAGTGAGGAGCCTCTCCTCGGGAAGAATTCTTTGTGCATATTAATATTATGCATGTTTTCCATGTGACTCCTTCTCACTTGCCCTCACCCCATCCTTTGAATTCATTTAAATAAAAATAATTTATGTGGACATTCCTTCAGTCAGGATTTTCTCTTTCTCTTTCTTAAAGACATCCATAACATTCAGTTGATGCTTTGCGTCCAAACCAAGTCGTTAGCCTTTGCATGTCATTAGAGCTTTATAAAGAACCACAGCGACACCTGCGTGTACCGCAGCGCCAAGAGATAGAAAAAACACCGAAAACAAAACTCCACACTGGCTTGGAGGCTGTCTGGCTCTCTCCCCAGCAGCCCCCGCCACCACCATGGATAGGAGTAATTGTACAGTGCAATCACATCATGCCTCATCTGAATATTCATAGCAGAGACAAAGCTTTGGAGGATAAGGGAGGAGCGGGGATAATTTAAATATAAACCAGCATCTCATTTCCAAATCAAGTTGTGCAGTTACACTGTGACCAGGATTCAATATTAAACCAACATTGTTCCACAGTTTGAAAATTGGAAGTGAAGAAGACAGAAGAGGAAAGGTCTCGGGCAAGAAAGGGTGGCGGCACATTCTCACTCTCGACTGAGGAAAAACAAGGAAGGATGGTAACAGAATAAAAATCGTTAAAGTGGTATTTGAAGAGTCACCATCAGTGGCTAACCAGCTGCGTTTTACCAAGAATGAAACAGCCTATTGAGGGAACTTTAAAAGCCCTCAATTAATATGTTGTGCATGTATACGATCTACAAAGAACTCACTGTATTCTCCACCCCCGGTACCCCCAATACTCACATATTCCCTAACCACCACCTTACTTTTCTGTCAGGTGCAGGAGAAGGATCAGAGCTATAAAATAATTAATTAACCACTTCAAAAGTGACAACACCCATCTTCACAATTAAAGGATAAAAACAAACACATACAAAAGGTGACTTCATTAATGAGGGGATAAATTACCGATGGCTTCTTCATTCTCTTTAGTTCATTACCCCCCAAATGGAACAAATATAATCCACATGTTAACATTTCTTGTCTTCTTTCTTTGTTTTTAGCATGATGCTCTTTATTATTTTTTAAGTGTTGGTATTTGTAGAAGCCTCTGTCTCTGCATTCCCCAAAGAGCTACTAGTTTCAGCCCACTGGAGTTTATATTCCTTTAATTGTCTAGTGCAGGGACATTGCTGCTGTTTTTAAAAATATACCGCTCTGCAGGAATTAGAAGAAGCCAAGGTTGTATCCAACTTCAAAGGTTTCCAAGTCATAATGATTTTAGCAAAAGCAGAAGACACATCATGGAACAAGCCCCTGTTTGAAGATAAGCATCATAGGGATCTTTTTTTCCTTCCCTGTCTCCCCAACTTTGTACTTCTCCTGGCTCTGAGTGCCCCCTTGCTAACATGGCTTAATGATATGCAAATGAAATATGCATAAAACCATTCTACTGTATGATGATTAAACACTGGAGACATTAACCGCGGAGGCTTCACTCTGTAATAATCCTTCCCGACCATCCACTTTGATTGCGGAGTTATGGAAACCCGTAGCAGTTGGCAGAGAGAGTGAAGAGAGAAGGAAGGAAGGATGCGGGGGCACATCACCCATCTCGGGGCTTCTCCCACTCCAGAAGAGCCTCCCCACCTCTGTACTGCCCTCCCTTCGCTGCCTTTTGTAATCCATCCGTGCAGTCGCACCAGAGCGATTAACGGGAGGAAAAAAAAACCAAAACCTTTTCTCTTAATGTTTCAAAGCTCATTAGCCAAACGATTATTCCTCATTAACAGCGAAAGCTCATTCATTAAAAGGAAGAATATGCCCAAAAGATGCCAGCGCGGTTAATCCTGAGTCCCGTAACTGGTCTGTAAATCCCACACTACTTGTATATTCCATGCGAAAGGGGCACGCGCCAATCCACAGTTTTAAAAAAAGGAACAAAAATGAAAACAGTTTGTGTGTTTTGTAAAATCCACAAGAGCAGCAATTAATATTCCCAATGAATGACTTTATTATTTTTTGTCTCTCTTTTGTTTCCAGCGCCTGCCCCTGGCTCAGCGCCCGGTGCCAACAGAACACCTTCAAGGATTCACAGCAACGCAGAAACCGTGAGTACCGGTCGTCCCCTCCAACCATTCTGCAGGTTGTCTTTATTTTAAGCACCTAAAACAGAGACAAGCCTCTTCCCCCTTCTCCTCAGCATCATGCCACCAGGGTTTCCTGAGTAGCCCCTTCCAAAATTCTCTGCCTTCAAGTTTGTGCATGTCTGTGTGGCATCCCTCCTCCTCCTCCTCCTCCACTCCCATAGTGGATCTTGTAAAAGGGCTTCAGATCGGCCCCATTCATCTCCCTGGTGATAGCAGTGAATGTAGATAAATCTCTGGCTGCCTGCTTGCTGCTCCAGTATGATTTTTATTTTGTCTTCTGTATATACCTGGATTAGAGAGAGAGGGATGTATACACACACACACATACACACACACACACATACATGCACATACACGTATCACCTCCTCTTTCCTCTGCCATCCTCTCCTAGTTCTCAGACATGCACACATCCCACATGTGTATATATGCCAAACATATACACCTATATACGTACCCATACCTATAGCATGAAAATAGGCACATCTCTAAGCATTCAGTTTGTCAGAAAGTATGTGTATTTGTATACACATATAGCCTTACACACATTTATCTATATGCAGTCGATGGCTGCCTGTTTTCACATCTACCCATCTATAGCTCCTCTTAAATATTCCCTCTTTTTTTCTCAGCAGAGGCTGTGTGCAATCTCTATCCAGGATTGTAAAAGAAGTATTCTTTCCTTATGATTTCTATTTGTAGACCTTTATGCTCCCATCTCTGCCTTCTTCGGAGCTGTAAAATTGGCATCTTTCCCTGAGGTTTTCCGAATGGCAAGTGGCACCGGCTGTGGCATGCATTCATGCCGCTTCCTATGGCATTTCTCTTCCGATGTCTGCTTTTCCTCTTTGTTTGTTGTTGACTAGGCTGAATGGTGTTTTTTTTTTTTTAGTTAATTATAAACGAAGTTGAATAGCAAATAAGCCAGTAGCTTGCCCCCTCAAAAAAAATTTAATGAAAAAAAAAAAACAAAAAAACAATAATAACCCATACAAGTGCCTTCTGCTGCAACAGATGCCCACATCACCCTTGGCATGGGCAAACGGACAAACAATTTTGGTGGTTGATAATTTTTTCTGATTGCTGCTGTATCTGTTGTTTGTTTTCCTTGTTTCTTTTTGATTTTTCAAGATGTCCAGGATCCCGGCCTCTGCTTGGAACGGAACAGTGTCATGGCGGAGACAACGGCCTTTGTCTTGCTGGGTGTGAAAACATCCGCTGTGCTGGCTCGACTGCGGCAGAATCAAGTTTAAATGAAAAAAGTGATTAAAGTCAGCTTTGTGCTTCTTTGGTGTGGAAGACCCCCAAACCCCAAGTAGCCGACTCCCAGGGTCCAAGGAAGGGCTCAGAGTTGGAGCAGCGTGGGCTGTAATCCTGGCACTTGCGCCTCGCGTTGCCGCTTGCTGTTCGCTCCTGGGGGTCTGGATAATCTCCCTTGGTTTTACCGCACTGTCTGGCCCGCATACAGGGCCCGGTAACATATACCCGCTGCTGCTATCACACGAAACTGTGGCGTTGCCCCTGAATGGATGGCACTGTGCCAACTCTTCTGCCATCCGCCCTTGCAGCTTTTCTCTCTCCTCCCGCCCTCCCCTTCTCCTCCTCCTCCCGTCGACTTGACGTTAATTAACACACGGGTTAATTGATTTTAAAAGCCGAAGAATTACAGTTAACTTTTCCCACAGGGTACAGACGCCAGCCGCTTGGCACACTCTGCCTTCCGCACTGGTGCAGGGGGGCAGGGAAAGCCCGCAGCAAAACTAGCAACTGCTGAGGGAGCGTTGCCTGCTTATTGGAGTAGAGCGGATAGAAGCCGACGTGGCACTGCCTCAGCCTGTACAGTATATGGAGCCATTATATGTTCTGTCAAATAGTAAGACACGACCCTGGCTCTCCTCTGCCTTCCTTGTCCAAACTAGAAAACCCCTTCAGAAGTTCTTCCAGAGATGGGGTAAGCCCCTCCCCAAGACCATTTATCTCCTCCATTAAATGCTTCTTTTCTAGTAATAACAAAATAATGGTGCCTTTAAGACTTTTTTGAATTGTTGTTTTTTTGGTTTCACAAGAATTTCCCTAAATAGCACAAGTATTAAGTTGTATGAAGTTTTTTTTCTCAGTATCTGTTTTATTTTGTTTCCATTCCTCTTGGCCAGATTAGGTTATTTTGGGTAAAGGATTTCAGTGAGAAAGTACATAGTATAATTAAGAACAAAATTCCTACCAAGGCTCTTTGTTATTTTGTGTGTGTGTGTGTGTGTGTGTGTGTGTGTTGTGTGTATCTTTGCTTGCCATCCCCTTTCCCAGAGCCTCTGTGGAAAATAAAAGCAGTTGGTATTGCAGTTGAGAAGGAGTCAGGCAAGGCTGGGAACTTAATGCTTTTACCTTTTCATGCTTTCATTTTATTTCATTTTGTTTTTTAAAAGCACACAGCAAGTGAAGCGACAAGAGGAATCCATTATGCAAATCATGTCACTTTGCATAATGTCTCATGACTGGAATATGCAAATGAGCTGTATAATTTATGAGTGCCAGTGTCTGTCTAAAAGTGTTTCACATAATTTACAAAGTAAGCCTGAGACAGGGTGAAAGCAGCTCTTCCAAGTCCATTGCCAGGAAAACTGCATTTTCCTGTAAGTGCCTCTCATGCTGTCCTCAAGAGCTGTGCAAGAGATTAAGGCTCCAAGTGTTCAAGAAACACAGAAATCCTCCCTACCTAAAAGTTTGCAAGAAACTTCAACTACAATGGCACAGTTTTTAGATTCTGTCTTGGAAAGAAACTGTTAAAGCCAAATGTGCCATTTGTATCTAGGTTTTCTTTTGGGAGTCCAGGAATGTCTGAGAGGAGAACCTACTGTATGTGCCTGTGTGTGTGAAAGCAGGAGAAGGGGAGTTCACATTCCAGTTGGTTTTTAATGTGCTCTGCTCTGTACACCATTTTATGAATCATAGGCTCAGGAGTCAATCGTCTTGTGAAGATAGAAGGCGACTTTCTGCCTTCAAAGGAGAAACACTGCCTGTCCAGAGCCAGGTTTGACTAGCCACTTTAGTTGACAACTCTCTATCACTCTTCTTAAAAATTATTCTTTTGAGATGACTCAGCTCTTTGAGAAGTCATAACATCTTTAATAATCCAATACAGTCTGGCCTTATATTTTCATTATCATTACAAAGTCTACAGAAAAGATATACCAAGCTATCGTGACGGAGCACACCAGAGGACCTGATCCATGGCAGGCTTGCCAAAAAGCTTCCTGATGAAAATGAGTCCAAGTCAACTCTGAAAGAGGAAGGGAGATCAGACCAAAAATGAGAAAGTGTTTTTCACGCAGAAGCTTTGTTCATTTGCTAGTGCCTCGTCTCTTAGGTCATTAGTCTGTGTACTTGTATACCATTTATCTCATAATGAAAAGTACTCTGTCACTACTATTAGGACATTTTCTGTATAAGATCTCAACTCATTCCAAATTTATACACTGAACCATCAAAATTCTGGATGCGACCTTGTGTGATATCCTCCTTTTAATATCATTTAAGAAAATAATGATAGGAAAATTGACACACCCAGAAGAACAGAATGGAAGCTCTTTTACTAGTATAATGGAACATTAAGATGAACTGCCCTGTGATCTACAAAAAAAAAAAAAAAGAAAGAAAGAAAGAAAGAAAATTAGAAATATTCAAGTCAGGAAAAATAAACTCTCTAGTCCCTCCCCTCCAAAAAAATTGGAACACAAAGCAGTGAGAATGCTCTCTGGAAAAATCTTGCATGTAGAATAAAATATTTCTAATGACATGCATTTAAGAGGCAGTGGTAAATTAGAAAATATGTTAATGGAATGCAAATGAAAATACATTAGAAAATTTTTAAGATGCAGTTAAGACGTGTTTGGAAGGAAAAAGCTTTTGTGATTTACTCTAGAAGCCAGAAAACTTTTGGATCATTAAGTCTCCACTTGAGAGAAAAGGAACCTGAACCAAATGTAAAAAAGATATGTCAAACTTCGTCAAAACTGAAAACACTTGTTACTTCAATGGAATAAAATAATGGAAAAAAAATAAGCTACAGACTGGGGAAAACATTTGCTACCAATGATAAAGTTTTTTAAAAGCCACAAAAACTAATCAGCCTAAACCAGACTTAAAATAACAAAAGCAAAGAAGAAATGTAGACTTTAAAGTGTGTAGAAGCAACTGAACTGTTAGTAGAAGATGTATACTGTAAGAAATGTTCAAGAATGCTCCCCAAACAAATAAAAAGCACTGGAAATGGTAATTGTCATTGCCATGTTTTAAAACTTTTATTACTTAAAT